CAGTTTTCTCACCTCTTTCTTGTGGGTTTTAAGCAAACACGCAGTGAAATGGGAGCAACTAGAGTTTATTTTGTCATAAGGTAGTGTGATTATGCATGACACGAAGTATTTGCTAGTCTAGTACTGGAGAAATTAGCGTTTGGATGCGCATTGTGCGGCTTTAAGTTTTGAAGTATACGTCAACTGTATCACGTGGCTCTCACTCCACGCCCGGGGGATAGCAACACCCCTGTGGAACTTGTTGCGCATCGTTACAGCTATAATAAAAGCAACGGGTGCGGGCGGCGCACGCACGTTTTGACACGTAGGCACAAAAATCCCGTCCAATGACGTCGCGGCCTTCATGCATTCAGTGGCAGCAGGCAGATAACAGCAGCTCAATGAAAGGTCAGCTGGTTAGCAAACACTGCCGCACCGAAACCTTCACAGAACCACGCCGATAAATAAAGACATGGGGATTAAGTTTAAGACGTAAACGCCGGGCCACGCCTATATACCGCATATCCGTATCTTCACTAGCTGATGAATCGGGTGAGAACCTTACCGCTTTGGCGTCTGCACCGGCCTTGCCCTTCGTTGCCGTGGGCTGGGGTGAGTCCTTGCCATCAGGGATGTACAGCAACACACAAGGACTAGATCGTCCCGTGTACGGACTGCAAGCGAAAGTCACATATACGAATGTCACCGGCGTGAATATTTCCACGGCAAAACTACGCAGCAGAATGACGTAGGTCGGACTGAATTTCCGGAGATAAGGCGAAAAAAAATGCAAAAATTAAATGCGATACATATATAGAAGCACTAGCACAAAAGTTATACTTGATATAATAACTTATAGAGAAAACCATTTGAATATCACGTATTACAAGCAACGTGCTAATCAGGAATTACTATGAGGTAACTAATTGTTTTTAGTAAGTGAGGAGCTGTAACAGATGACGCGCCCTGCCTTGCAAGCAACAACTTCTATCATCTAACATGCAGTGCGAGTCCGTAACTAAACGAGAACATATGATACTACAGCTTTGCGTTGCCCCTCTCTCTCTGTCATGCAGCATCCTCCGACATCGAAGCGCAACCTTACACCGGAGTAGTAGACCCCGCACGTATACCCAGCAAGGCCAACAACGGTTAATATAAACAAGAGTCCATAATATTAGAGTCTCAATTATGGACTCTTGATATAAAGTAATTGGTCTCACGCTGCGGCGCGTGCGTGCGAAAGAGGAAGTGCGTGTGTGTGTGCGTGCGTGCGTGCGTGCGTGCGTGCGTGAGTGTGCGTACCAGTGCGCCTGTGTGTATTAACGGGGGATCAGATGCCAAGACGATGCGTATCTAAACTTTGCTGCACCACCCACGCGCAGCGCCCAGCTCAGCACGCGGGGAACTTAGCACATAGTACACACCGTAAACATGTACACACGCGCGCATACATCCCCCCCCCCCCCTACACACACCACAAACACACACGCGCGCATCCTCCCACACACACCTCACACGCGCACGCACGCACACGCGCACACACACACACACACACACACACACACAGAGCGAGAGAGAGCGAGAGAGAGAGAGAGAGAGCAGGCACGTGCGTGCGGTCACGTACGCCTGTCCCTGGATATATTGATCTGCACTCCATCCACGCGAGGGAAATCTGAGTCCACCGTGCGCGTTTCGCACGTGTCAGGAGTGTGCGCTACAGTTCTTGGCACTTCATCCCCAGCCATAGCATAGCAGCGTTGCTAGGTTGGCATGTTGCCTCCATAGCATGATGCCCCAGCGCTTGGCGCACCCACTACTGCTTACTACGGGCTTTTTGGCCATCACGTTTATAGTTGCTTTCATGGTTGCCTTCATAGTTGCATTAGTTATGCAGCGCTTCAGCTGGGCATCTCATCCCCAGTCAGCTAGGATATGTTCGCTACGCTTCCAAGTTTCCAACTATTTCCTGCCGCCTTCAACCCATTACCCAGAGCTTGCCGCCCCCGACATCGAGCCAACTATATAGTGGGGCAGGTATGTGTAAGTATGTCGACTAATACACTACTAGCAATGCTATCAGATCATTTATTCCCCCACCGTGCCATCACTGTGCCGTTGTTTGTGGCTCGGCACACTCAACTAGGGCATTACTGCTCAACAGTTATTTACCTATCGCTAGTAGAACAGCATGCGACCTGTTGGACCTTATCAGTGTCTATCAGTATCTTACCCGTATCAGTGATATCTAAGCACATATCTATCTATCAGCATGCGATCTTATCAGTTAAAGCAGATATATCTATATCCGCGTCTATAGAACGCTGACAAGAGTGAAGGAAGGAAACCGTGCGTATAAGACTGGCTCGCACTGTTCCCTATAAGCTATGCGCGTGTGTGTGCGCGCACACACGTTTTGCAACCAGCGCACAAAGGAAATTAATGTGCGTACAAAAGGTTATACTTTAAATAGAATAAAATCTTAACTAAATACGTTACTTCGTAGATATTAAAACATGCCAATACAGTTTTATAAGCCATGAGAGGCTGTGCCAAAATTGTCTTGAAACAATTTCAAGTTAACATTTGCACAACCATTCAGTGCGCACATACTTTTGTGACAGGGAAAACATTTGCACAACAGAAGATTTTTGCGCACACTGACTATGAATAATTAGAGGGAACATTGCTGCCTGCATGGTAGCTCACCTGAGGCGCTGATACGGCTCGTCGCAGATGTAGTAACCTTTGCGCTGCAGCTGAATGACGTCACCCTTCTTCAGATTCGCCAACTCAGGATCGCCCAACATCGGCGTCTCGTGCTAGAACAAGACAGCAGTGGCCGTTTATATATATATATATATATATATATGTGTGTGTGTGTGTGTGTGGTTTTGTGTGTATATACAGTCGTAACCCCGATCTTAAGGCGCTCCGACTTAACGCCGTATCTCGGATATAACGGATGACGTCGTTGGTGACCCCTTTTTTGCTCTTATATAGCCACGTATATATAACCCCGATTTAGGTGCGACCCGCTTTTTCGTGATGACATATTATGGACCCCAACAATTGCGTTATAACGGGGCTACACTGTATATATATATTATATAAAACGCGTGCACTGTTTGCGTGACTCCACGCGCTTCCATGGCGCGTAATTAAATTTCTTACTACCGCACGACAGCCGGTAGTGCCATTCAAAGATCGATATTAGTATCACATTGACGTTATTAACTACGTATATCAACTACGTAAAATTATGAAAGCAACTTGCTGGAATAAAACGAGATAGTCCTTGCGTTATCTTACTACTCCATATAACAACAACCACTAATAATGGTGCATGGTAGGTTGAAATACAGATATTCGACGAACTTTTTCCCATAACAACTGTCGAGCGCACCCAACAGTGCAATGCTTTATAGAACGTGCGGGAGTATGCAGTGCTGAAGACTACATATATGTGGATTTGCTAGATACATAATCCTAGCTGGTTACACGCACAGCCACCATCATGTTAAATTAAAGTATCGAACCATTAAAGTCTAGGGGTATTGTGCAAAGTTCAGACTAAACCTCCAGTAAAAAAAACATTGCAAGTTATTTCGTGACAGGCTTACCCTAGAGTCCCTACTGACGTATTGCTTGAAGTCTTCATCTTTGCCCAAAATTGGTTTGGAAATCAGAGAATCAAAGTTGACACAGATGGTGGGCACAAGCGGAGCTTCTGGCAGCTCTGCTAGCCACGTGATCTTTGTCGTTTTCTTGTAATCCTGTAGGCACATTAAACAACGTGATTAAACTCTAGAGCTTGATTCCTTGCAGAAACCTTAATTGAAATTTACATGACACGAAAGTATTATGGACAATATTCTGCGCTATCTACAATATATGCTATTACGGATTAATTACAGCATAATAAATCAGTCTTCATGGCCAGCAAACAGTAAATTCAAAAGTTTTACCTGTGTAGACAATTGGATTTATTTTTTTACTAAATATTTACTCTGCAGTTTGATCAGTTATAAACCAGGGGCCGGGTGTCAGAAACAAAATGAGTCTTAACATTAGTTTCAACATTAACCTTTTTGCTTAGTCTGTTCACAGAAACATAATAGACTTACAAGAATGAAAAATCACAGAGAATTTACTCAGAACATCAAGTTTTGATTAATGTTAAGAATAATTCTGTTTTTGAGAACGAGTCCCAGCACGACATTGAAAAGACCTTTCGAGGCAGACTGATGTCCACGTGTAAAGGTCAGAATAAGGTTGAATAAATTTATAATTTCCACTGTACAGAGAATTGTAGAAGCACTCACTGTATTTTCCAAATTCAATTCAGCATCAATGGCCTCTGCCTTCCCATCTTCATTTCTAAACAGAACCACAACGTAGAACTATACATGAGTAAAACTACAAAACATAACTTATACACGCCTGTTTATACAGTTGAGAATTTATCCTCAGGTAAATTAATTCCTTATTGATATCACGCAGATTTCCCCATTCAGAGCCGCAAGACATTCGAGAAGACATGCGTGTATTTTTCCCCATGCTATAACCGCATCGTCGAATCCCACACCTCTTCACAGCCTTGATGCGCAGATTTCCCCATTTGATAAATAATTTATACTCATGTGAATTAATTCCTCATTGATATCAAGCAGATTTCCCCATTCTGAGCCGCAGGAGATTCGAGAAGAGACGCATGTGTTTTTCCCCATGCTATAACCGCAGCGTGACCGCATACCTCTTCACAGCCTTGATGCGCAGGTTTCCCCAGTTGATAAAGGTCGCGACCTCGCCGTCCTTGAGCACGGCCGCGTCCGCGCCGTCGATGACGATGTCCGGACCCAACCACATCTGCTTCTCGCCCACCTCCGCATTCTACCAAATAGCACGACGATATTCATAGCTAGGCGGCCTAGGCCCCGGCACTGTTAGCAGCAGTATGCAGCTTCAGTGGTGCAACATTACTAGCAACAGTGCAACATTAGTAGCAACAGTGCAACATTACTGGCAACAGTGCAACACTACTAGCAACAGTGCAACACTACTGGCAACAATGCAACGCTACTAGCAACAGTGCAACACTACTAGCAACAGTGCAACACTACTAGCAACAGGGCATAGCTGGAGTGCCACACTACTAGCAACAGTGCAACACTACTAGCAACAGTGCAACACTACTTGTGCGCGGCGTCCTGCGCCGCGGCATGACCGTCGAGGGCCTCAAGCAGTTCATCGTCGCGCAGGGCTCGTCGCGCTCCATCGTCGTCATGGAGTGGGACAAGATCTGGGCGTTCAACAAGAAGGTGATCGACCCCGTCGCGCCGCGCTTCACCGCAGTCGAGCGAGAGGGCGCCGTGCGCGTGCGCGTCGCCGGCGCCGCTGCCGAGAGCAAGATGGCGGCGAAACATCCGAAGGTGTGTGACGTCGCATCGGCGATCGCTTTTGTAGTTGCGATTTTAGTTATCGAAGAGATAAGACTAGAGACACTAGAGAGACTAGAGAGGCTTGAAATTATCTCACGGTGGGAAGCCCGTAGGGTTATAGGAAGAATAATTGGAGTAAGAAGATGTCGAAGAAGAATAGGAATAAGAAGATGAAGACGAGGAAGATGTATCAGTGTCAGTTGTATGTTAGCGAGTTATCGCGGATGGTATAGTACTCTAGTACTCTATCCAAACTGTAGGAGCATGTTGCTAGTAGTGTTGCACTGTTGCTAGTAGTGTTCAGTTGCACTGAAGCCATGCCCTGTTGCTAGTAGTGATGCACTTTTGCTAGTAATGTTGCACTATTGCTAGTAGTGTTGCATTGGTGCTAGTAGTGCTGCACTGTTGCTAGTAGTGTGGCACTCCAGCTATGCCCTGTTGCTAGTAGTGTTGCATTGTTGCTAGTAGTGTTGCACTTCAGCTATGCCCTGTTGCTAGTAGTGTTGCACTGTTGCTAGTAGTGTTGCACTGTTGCTAGTAGCGTTGCATTGTTGCCCTCAGGGACGACCCCCGCATGCCGACCGAACGAAGAACAAACACGGGGGGTCAGCGCCTCACAGCGCGGCGGCCGCGGCGGCGCAGGACGCGGCGCACGGTCGGCATGCGGGGGTCGTCCCTGAGCGAACGAACAACAAACACGGGGGGTCAGCGCCTCGCAGTGCGGCGGCAGCAGCGCAGGACCACGTAGAGGTCGTGTTGACAAAGGGAATGGTGGGGGGACCCGGCGTCGGTATGTGATAACCCATTACCTTTACCAATAACAGGTATGCATGCATGCATACATGCCTGCACGTATATAATATATATAAATAAATAAATATAAATATATATATACGCATGTATATATACAGCTGAGCAGTACATGAACGAGAGATATCTTTAAGGATCTCACAAGTGTTAAAGGGCCAACATGTTACGGAGTAACCGGTAAGCGCCCCCTACCGCCACAACACAATGACAGGGTAAAGACACTTGTCATTAGGACAGATGGCATTAAGGTACATAAATATACAGGTAACACCGCAGAAACAATCACGAAGAACGCGCTTCGCTGTTGAAGCCGACAGCGAAAAACTCTTCCTGTGAAGCTGGGTTTACACTACCGACTTTATGTTAGCGAATTGGCGAATTAGACCCAACTTCCCAACTACACAACCGACAATCAGCGGTGTAAACCCGAAAGTCGCGCGAGCAACCGATCGATAGCAACTAGTTGGGAGATTAGAACATGTTCTATATTCGCCAACTCGGAGTTGCCGAATTGCAAAATTGGTCCGACTCGCCAATTCGTCAACATAAACTCGGTAGTGTAAACCCAGCTTAAGCCGCGTAACTACGCCACTAGGACGACGTCGCACCGATCTCTCGACCCGCTGAAACTTAGAGACTCGAGAGCCGCTAGCAACGGGACGTCGGCCGCGAGGCACGAGCCACTCACCAGCCGTCGACTATGCCCTCGTCGACGAACCAGGTGAGCTTTCGCTTCGACAGCACCGTGTTCACCATGTTGAGGCGCGCGTACTCCCAGACGTGAACCTGCGAAGGTAAAGCATCTCCGTTAAGTCGACATCGCTGTTGCTGCCGGGAAGAGAGAGGGTGTGTGAGGGACGCAGTTAATCTATCTCACCGGGGAGAGATCGAGTCGGGCGACTCTAGCCAATCAGAGTTGTAAGGGAACACTCTAAAAACAATGCTTAGTAGCAAAGTGCCACGATGTCAACACCTTGGCCACATACGGGTATGTGTACAAACTGCATGGGCTTGGTCAACCTAGCAACAACAGGTTGCCCTGCTCATGCACGTTATGCCTCATCTAGCACGGATATAGCACATAGTCGAATCCTTAGTACTAACTTGTATCCCCGTATTAACTCCTTTAGGAGGGGGTGGTGAGAAAGAAAGAGGAAGAGAAGTTGCAAGGTGACCAAAGGTCGATAATTGTGGACGGCCTCCTTACTAACCTTTGGTATTTGAAGAGCATTGATGAACCAGTAGTATTGATCATCACGATCATGGTATTCGGTGGTTCTCAGCGCATGTGTTACTCCTTCGATCGAATCCACTATAGGGCACGCAAAATCATACGTAGGATACACCCTGTAGAACGAAACCACCCCGGTAGATTTGCGTTGCTACGTAGGCAGGTACTTACTAATCGCGAAAATAAAATTAAATTCAACATCGTCCATTCATTTATTCATCTGCACCACATTAGGTGGGAATGATTACGCAATTTTTCCCCGTCAGTTTATGGTACAATTTGGCGCGCACACATGTTGCAGGCGTTCGTGCTCACTGGCACACACGCACGCGTGCACACATACACGCACGCACGCACGCACGCACGCACGCACGCACGCATCCACACGCACTGTATCCTAAATAACTTTGAATGCCACTTCTCCAATGCATACAAGATAAACTTAACTGTCGAATCTCATCTTCTTTCTGTAATTAACAACTGAGGTCACCTTTGGGTCCATCTCTTTTGCAAAATCATTCAGATAACTGGTACTGCTAGCGTTTTAAACTGTGGATGGCTATACACTATGTAAACCCGTGTTAGTGTTCACTTAGACTTCAGAACGACAACCTGTCTATAAAGGACATGGACATGGATATTCCTTCACGTGAAAGCCATACAGAGAAACCACGTCTACAAAACAAGCACCTGTCTATAAAGGACGCTTGTGGATATTTCCTCGCGCTGAAGCCATACAAAGAAACCACCTCTACAGAGCAAGCACCTCTCTATAAAGGACACTTATGGATATTCCTTCACGTGAAAGCCATACAGAGAAACCACCTCTACAGAGCAAGCACCTCTCTATAAAGGACACTTGTGGATGTTCCTTTGCGTGAAAGCCATACAAAGAAACTGCCTTTACAGAGCAAGCACCTCTCTATAAAGGACACTTGTGGATGTTCCTTTGCGTGAAAGCCATACAAAGAAACCACCTCTACAGAGCAAGCACCTCTCTATAAAGGACACTTTTCGCATATCGTCCTAGCGACCCTCGGGTACGCCTTTGACTGCACGCGATTTAAAGGATTTATTGCGATATTATTATGCTCAGAAACGCTCAATCTGACAAAAAAATACGAAATATAGTCTCACCTCACAGCGGATATAGCAGCACTGATTACACTTACTGAGCACACGTTTGAGGGCGCCTTCACAGGTTCTACTGCGCGAACGCGAACTCACTTGTACTGGAGGCCCGTGCGGACGTGCTCCTCGTTCTTGCACCTGTATATCGTCGGGTCTCGCATGGCGCCGTTGTCCGACTGCATGTCGATCTTGGCGCGCACGGCGCATGTCTTCCCGTACGCGGTGCCCTGCTTCATGTCCTCCCACATCTTAACGTTCTTCTCCACACCTGCGGAAAATATCGGACGAACGCGGCTGATGGAGACTACATGGTAGCCCAAATATTACGTGTGTGCGTGCGTGCGTGCGTGTGTGTGTATTATATATATATATACATTTCGCGAAATTATCGCTATTTTGCCGGTGGCCGCCGGTTCAACCCCCTAAACTGCCGGTTCAATTAACCCCCCATATAATCAGTCCACTTGGCCTATTCAAAATTTTGCGTATCTTGCCTTTATATCAACTATATTTCCTGGCTAGTTTTTACTTAGTGACTACTAAGAAGTAAATAATGTTCCAGCAATTCCTGTCAAACAAGTAGAACTCCACTGATAGCAATGAAATACTGAAATACTATGAGTATATGCCTAATACACAGTAAGCTAATACTTTTATTAATAATCAATGGAATAAATTGATCAAAATTAAGGGCCTACTCAATTTGTCTAAGGACGTGTTTAAAATGTTGGGTAATCATGTACACTGCTAGCTCATACGTGCATACAGACAGCATCATGGGGAGCACCCATGTATGATAGACAGATACTCCAGATAAGAAGGGCTGGCTATCACACTGACACCATAGTTGGGCTCATAGGGTCTATGTCCCCCAGGGTACTATCGGAGGGTACCCTGGTAACTATCTGATATGGTTAGGGTTAGGGTTAGGGTTAGGGAGTAGGCGTAGGCGACTCCCTAGACTCGTTAGTGGAGTAGGCGAGGTACGGTCCGGCATATTAGATAGTACCAGGGTACGTTCCGATATATCGAACCGTACCCAGGGTACCCTCCGATAGTACCCTGGGGCTGGGGGACATAGACCCTATCAGCCATAGTTGGTGTAGCTGATGCGATTATTAGTTTTTGTTTAGTTTGTCAGCGAAATGCCCCGACGGGGGTATAGAGGGTTTATATATTCTCATGCGGGTGACATTTGCTTTTTTTAATTGTGAAAGCTGCTTTGATTCATGCTTGCCATGTATATATCTTACGTAGGACGCTGTAGTTAGTGGAACAAGATGGCGTTGTTTTGAAGTTTTGACATTAATCTACTAATTTTAGGCACAATTATTAGTTTTGCTGTGTATTTGAACATGTTTTCATGGGTAACCACGCTGATACACGGGTATTTTGGCCCAGTATACGCTTATGAAGTTAAGTGTTATAATTAAGTTATATTATAAGATCATGACGGTTCAAATATTAACATTTTTAAAACAATTTCTAGAAGTTTATAACTAAAAACAGCAGGAAAGCAAATAGCCACGAAGTGAACATGTTCTAGATAAATCGGCGAGTAACTACCAAAAGACAAGAAACTGTGAAGGAGAAACGATGATCAGTCTAGACCAGTGGTTCCAAACCCTTTCACCACCAAGGACCCCTTTTATTTATGCGTAGCCTGGAGGCTAGGCGACCGGTTCCGGACGCGTAGCCAGTAGCCACTGCGTTTATTTAAATTAATTTTCCCATGGACCCCAGATTTTGTTTAGGTCTGTCTACTCAACAAGCTCGTTTTATCACTAACAACACCAGGGCCAGACACAGGAAATGGGGCAGCAGGCTTTAATATTTATGGCTCATGGAATGTTTTCTTGATCGAAGCAGCCGTTACTCTATTTAATAGCTAAAACATATCTACCCCGCACAACCAATGTTGCCATACTGAGTTGATAATATCAGGAGTAAGATAATATAGGATCCTAGATCTAGGATCCTAGATCCTAGATATCTATAGGATAGATATATATAGGATCGGATAGGATAGGATAGGATATCTATAGGATATATATATATAGGATCCTAGATATAGGATCTAAGATCCTATATTATCTTACTCCTGATAATATTACATCCAAGAACAACGAAACATGAAATTTTGAAAGTTTATCGTTAGCAGCCATCGTGAGTAAATTTACATTTTACGCTGGGGCCTCTTAAAATTTTGAACTTAGCTCACAGACCCCCAGAACTATCCTTGCAGTCCCCCAGGGGTCCGGGGACCACATGTTGGGAACCACTGGTCTGACTCTAGATATGAGAACAAACAACCTGCGCAACTATAGTGTAAGCCCGGCGCACACGTGGCGATTTTTATCGACAGTACCGTCGATTTTTATCGCTGGTACTGTCGATAAAA